ATGTAAATAGTTATTCTCAGTTATTGTTATTTACTATATGGTATTGTACTTCTCTCTTTTTGATTATTGTACTATCTGAAACATCCTGCCCTGTACCAAGCTACACCTTCTACTCATACGTCTTACTCAACTGGGTACACCGCACATAGAACATCTAACATTCCCAGAGACCACATTCCCTTTCCCTTATCACACACCGACCCCTCTAATATCCCAAGATGGCAACAGTGACGATCCTATCGCACAATGCCAGGGGACTGAACACCCCTGAAAAACGCCACATGGCACTCACAGATTATCACAAACACAAGGCTGAGGTAGTTTTCATACAAGAAACGCACTTCCGTAAAGACTCAGCACCTTCACTTAAGTCGAAACACTTCACAAAGGGCTATTTCAGCAACTTCACTGGCTCAAAATCCAGGGGAGTGGCCATTTTACTCTCCTCACACCTCCCATTCACCTACAGAGACCTCCTAACAGACGACACTGGTAGATTTATCTTCTTAAAGGGCCTGATAGGCTCAACCCAAGTCACGTTAGCCAATATCTACATGCCCAACAGAAAGCAATCCCAGGCATTCCGACACATAACTACGAAATTGGAAAGCTTTTCAGAGGGACTATTGATCCTAAGGGGGGACCTGAATGTGTCCCTGGATGGGGCGCTTGACACCACTTCACAGGTGCACTCATACCAGGCATCCACAAGAATAAACATCCCAAAAATCCTAGACTCCCACCAACTCTACGACTGCTGGCGCACCTCACACCCAGCGGATCGTGACTACTCTTATTATTCACACACGTCTGGCTCATACTCTAGGATAGATGTGTTCCTTATTCCACATAGATTCCTAAACCTAGTCAATACTTGCGAATATGCCTCGATTACGTGGTCAGACCACGCTCCTATCTCCCTGAACATAGCAATCCCTTCCTTACACTCATCCAGGACACAGTGGAAACTCAACGATACACTGCTAAACCACCCGGAGATACAGACCAGAATTAGGAGCTCACTTACACAATATTTTGAATTAAACGTCCACCCTGACACGCCCTACCCAATAGTGTGGGAAGCACACAAAAGCACGTTCAGGGGCACAATCATTAAAGAAGCTTCAAAACTCAAGAAACAAAGGGAATCAGAGACCTCCCGACTGACTAAGGAAATTAGGGATCTAGAGAACTCACATAAACAAGGCCTCGATCTAGCCACATACAAGACCCTAGTCGACAAAAGGACAGAACTCAATATCATTTTAAACGTACGCACCAAACATGCGCTGGCCAAAAGGAGGTGCAATTACTATACACAAGGGGGCAAATGCGGGCGGCTACTGGCGTATGCCCTTAAAAAGCAAAGGGAACATACGTTTATAGCAGCGATACGTAACCCAGAGGGCACTATTTCACACTCAATGACAGACATTCTAAAGACGTTCAAGGACTACTACTCATCACTCTACAATTTGAGACAAACTCCTCCCCAACCCCATGACATACAGGAATTCCTAGCACAGAGAATACACTCCACCATTCCACGAAACGTACAAGATGCCTTAGACGCTCCTATCTCGACAGACGAATGTCTAGAAGTGATAAAACATTTGCCAATAGGGAAAAGCCCAGGCCCAGACGGATTCACTGCAAAATATTATAAAACATTTGCCAAGACACTCATGCCCCATTTCCGAAACACATTTAATTCACTACTTAAATCTGATACCCTTCCCCCCAAGCATTAAATGCCACAATTACCCTCCTCCCCAAACCAGGTAAGGACCTGACCCAATGCGGAAGCTATAGACCTATTTCGCTGATAAATGTGGACTTAAAACTTTTTACGAAAATACTGGCGAACCGGCTACGTCCACTGCTACCAGGGCTCATACATGCAGACCAGTCAGGCTTCATTCCGGGCAGGGAAGCTAAACATAACACGACGAAACTGCTTAGCCTCATACACCTGACCCGGCGAACGAGGTGCTCCAGTCTACTCCTGTCGATTGATGCCAAAAAGGCGTTCGACAGGGTAGACTGGAGCTTAATTTCATCCACCCTACAGCACATGGGCTTTGGCCCCCACTGGCAGAAATGGTTCAACGCCATATATTCATACCCCACAGCAAATATCAGAGTAAATGGGCAGCTTTCAGACCCAGTACAAATAACAAATGGCACCAGGCAGGGATGTCCCCTGTCTCCCCTACTATTCGTGCTAGTCTTAGAACCCTTCCTACAGGGGATCAGAGATAACATGCAAATTAAAGGGATCACAGCAGGCGATAGGGAGTACAAAATAGCTGCATTCGCCGACGATATGCTATTCACTATCTCAGACCCTGGCACCTCAATACCACCTCTTATGGCGGAAATGCACACATACAGCGAACTCTCCAACTTCAAAGCCAACCTCAGCAAATGTGAGATCTTACCCATACACATACATCCCCAGGAGAAACATAAACTACAAAATGAACATCAATTCACGTGGGCCCCCCACCATATGAAATATCTAGGAATCCACATTACCAAAGATGCGTCACACTTATTTGACAGTAACTTCCCGAAACTGATGAAAGACATAACAGCTGACCTTAACACCTGGAACAAGCCACATTTCAGCTGGTTTTGCAGACTAAGTATATTAAAAATGAACATATTGCCCAGACTTCTGTACCTCCTGCAGGTTCTACCTATCATGATCCCTAAAACTTGGTTCACGCTGGTATGCAAAACCCTCTCATTGTACATATGGGCACATAAAACACCCCGGCTTTCACACTCGCTTCTCATTAGACCAAAGGGGGAGGGAGGCATCGGACTCCCAGATATCGAGAAGTACCACGATGCAATTCTCCTAACTAGACTCTATGACTGGGCATCCACCAACACCACCAAACAATGGGTACAAATAGAAGATACATTCCTAAGAGCGCCAATATACACGTTTCCATGGCAAAAATCGGGCCAGGCTTTCCTCCTTCATGCCCCACACCCTACCATTTCCCCCACTTTACGCATGTGGACTAGAATATGACAACACCAGACGATCTCCCCCTATCCGTCTCCGCTGTACCCGGTCACACACAACCCCTTGTTCAGGCCAGGTGAGGACGGTAAAGCTTTTAAGGAGTACCACAACTCAGCCTACCTAAAACTGGGGGACCTGATGGAGAATATAGGGGATCGAAAGATTAAACCCCTTGGCTCCCTCATAGACCAACAAACGATAATACACAAATTCCAATATAGGCAACTCACCCACTTTGTACTCACAGGACCACTCGCACATAATCCACACAGAGCACAAACTAAATTTGAACAACATTGCCTCGATCAATCCATTAAGAAAAAGCTCATCTCAGCGATGTACACCACGACATTAGCCACTCAACCCCTCAACCCACCAGCTTTTACTACCTCCTGGGAAAAGGAACTTAACAAGGCCTTCACGCCAGAGATTTGGCGTTATATTTTTAGACAAATCCACCACACATCACGTAACACACTCACGCAAGAAGGAAACTACAAGCGCATAGCGCGATGGCATTACACTCCGACCAAATTGAAATCACATTTCCCACCACTCTCAAACAGGTGTTGGAGGTGCCATACGGCAGAAGGGAATTCAGCACACATATGGTGGTCGTGCCCAACAATACAAGAGTATTGGAAACGCATACAAGGCCAAATTCAAATGATACTATCCATACATCTCCCGCTCACGCCAGACATGTTCATCCTCCTAGTGCCATCACAAACACTACCCAAACCGAAAGCAACCTTACTATACCACATGATTTCGGCCGCCAATCAACTCATTCCAGTATACTGGAAAAATCCAAATCCCCCATCCATAAGGGAATGGATACAAAAGGTCGAGACTATCAGAGGCCTGGAAGAGACATGCCACTCTATGACAGACAAGTACCATCTATACACTGCCACCTGGGAACTCTGGAGCGCATACCTTCAAAATGCTCCCGGGTAGCCCACTAAAATCTGACCCCCCCCCCCATTCCAGGCTACTGTAGCCGCAAAATGTATACAATGGAGAACGTGGGTAACGGCAGCTTAAGGAGTGAGAGGCCTGAGGTGGACAAAGGTTTACCTTCCTCCTACACCCTTCTGTGCACACCAACACCCGCTGAAACTCCACAGTCATCCATAATGCTTGACGGGGATGTAATAGACGTAATAGATGTAATAGAGGTTATGAGGTATGGGGTAACCAATGGATATTGAACAGTCTTGTTTATGTGTTACAACCCTTATGTCTAACCCACTTTGATGTATTGTTACAACTTTGCAACACAATAATAAAAAAAAAAAAAAAAAAAATGATGAAGCCCATAGCCCACCCTTCTAAGGAGTCAAGGTGTAAGCCGTATAATTTTCTTGGACGGCATCCTAATTCCTGCACAGTCCAACAACCTTCTTCAGGATCATCTATCTTGGACCTTAAACTTTTTGCAAAACCTGTGTTTCCTTCTCAGTTGGGAGAAATCCATCCTAATTCCCATACAATGTATCAAATTTCTGGGTTTCATAGTCAATTTAACCCAGCTTCATCTTCCCAAAGCGAAATTATCCAACATCAAAAAAGATATCAGGGGGCGGAACATAGCACCAGGGCCGACCAGACACATCTTTCCACAGCTCTGGGCAATAATCGACTAATCTGAAATAATCTGAGGTACCCCACAGCCATCGGACCCCCAACCGGCACCCTGCATATTCAGAGAGGGGTGAACAATAGCCCCACGCCTTTCTTATACCCGAAAACGGGTAAGAAGCCCCGCCGCACATCCGGAGCCTACCTGGGATATATAGCCACTCAAGCCGCCGCACGAGACTTAGAGGCAGAGTTGCCAGAAATATACAGCACCTTGTGGCCGCCTGACCATCTCCCACAGTGCGCAGGCAATATGGGACACAGATCCCAGAAATCACAGCCGGGCCCCAGCAAGGAATCCCATGACATAGGGGAGATGCTGCAGCGCCAGACGGCTCCCAAAATGGTGACCAGGCGGGAAAACGAGGTGAACAGACCAGACTCCCAAGCAGGCACAACTGCACCTGGAGACACACTCATCTCCACAACACCCCTAGAGGCAATGGCAGACCAAGACCAACAGGATATCGCTCCTAAGGGAGCTCAGACAGATGTCGGTGGCAAACTTGGACGTAGTCCGTACCGAGGTGCAGTCGGTGAGTGCACGCACGCAGGCTACAGAGGCCGAGGTTCAAGATCTCAAGCGAGAGGTGCAAAAGGGGAAAGACCAGATGCAAAGCCTACTACACTCACACACCTCCCTGATACAGAGAGTAGATCTCGCAACAGAAGACTGCAAGAGATGTGCCAATATTAAACCCTGAGGTATCCCAGACACAATAGACCAGGCTGAACTGCCACATTATTTAAGATGGCTGACAAACTCAGTCCTACCTCATTCTCAGTTAGAGGGCTGCTACATGATAAATAAGTCCCAACAGGCTCCACCCAATTCAACTTGCAACATAATTGTACGCTACCATTCTGTGACAGACAGCAACCGCATTCTAACAACAGTTAAGGGCAAAACGCCATTGGACTTTGAAAAAATTCCAAATTGGTATTTTTTGAAGACCTTACCAGGAATACCCTACAATGGCAGAGGTTCCTGAGCCCAGTCACGAGCCGATTATGGGAAGTTGGAGTGGAGTATCAATGGACTCTACTGCGAGCCCTTACGGCTACAACAACTGACGGCAGGGAGTTGAGACTCACCTCCATAACGGATGCCGCAACGTTTCTTCAAAAACTGGGACTGAGCTTACACCCAAATGAGCCCAACATTGCCTCTAACACTACGCCTGGGATTCCAAACCGAGCGAGACCCTACAAACTTAGAGGGAAAGAGAACCTGGGAGCGGCTACTGCGACCTGACCACCCGCCAGGCCCAATGCTGCATATTGTTAACTGTACTTCTGTTCCGACTTATCACTGTTACGTTAATCATTTTTCTCTTGCCTCAACATTCTGCAAAACAACTCTAGCCATGATTAGGCCAGTTAGCTCTCTGTCAGGGATCTTACCTGGAGTGAGAGTCCGGCACGCAGAGTTAAATCACCCTTTGCAATTTGAAACAGGCCGAGGGGACTCAAGACAGATATCCCCAAGGCTGTGACAGTGCACTAGGGCTGAAATAACCAGTGCTTCCTGGAACGCAGTACAGACAAGGGATATCCAGAAGAGTAGTCAGGAACAGAATCAGAAGTCAGGACACGCGACAATCAGGCGAAAACGGTAGACGAGCAGAGGATCAAAACCAGGAGTCAGATAAATAACAGTGAAACCGAACAGGAACAGGAAACACGATCTGATGACAAGAACCAGCCTTGCAGGGTGTTTAAATAGGGACTAGAAAGGAACTATAGATGTGTGGAGTCAAGGACAAAGTACATGACTGGGATGCAGGAGACCCAGGTTCAAACCCAGCCAGACCCAAATACCTATAATTAGCACATAGCACACTGGTGACCCTGACACTTTCATAGTCAAATAAATAATGACCTGTGTGGGATTTCATATCTCCCTGTAACTTTCAGGCTTCACTTCATATATATATATATATATATATATATATATACACACATGCGGACACCCGCAATACTGAATATTTTAATTATTTCAAAGCACTTCATATCCACCCCCCAGACAATATTCTCCTTATTCCCTTTACATTTTAGTAATAGCTGCAACTCTCTGTTAACCAGCCCATGCTAATTATTATCTCAAATTTCCATTATATAATTTACAGGCTATCTTACTTAGCACATTGTATAAGAGATTCAATTGCTAAGTCTTTTGCATCGTTCTGTGTATATTGTACATTCTCTCTTAATTGTACAGTGCTGAATGATATGTGGACACTTTATAAATGCGGGTAATAATATTATTATTGTTTACAGACATGTGTCATCAATAGAATACTTTGCAAATAGACATTGTTAATGGGACAATAGACATACCAAATTTGGTTTATATGTATAAAACCTTTAAAATCAAAGGAAAAGGAAGGCAAATGTATCCACTATCTTGAACAATTGACCAACTCCCTGCTCATGCAGCTCAATTCCCTCTAGTTCCCTAGTATCACCTCTGCTAAGAACAATGCCATGTATTCTAAGGTAGCCCTGATTTTTAACTGGAAGGAAAAAGACAGAGTAGGGATATAAGGTTTCCATGTCTGGAGGAATATTTTCAGTAAGGTTTCTTTGTTTATTAGTGTGTATACCCAATTCATTTTCAACAAAAAATGTTAAAGGAACACTACCTGGTCAGGAACACAAACCTGTGTTCCTGACCCAGTAATGTTAAAAACACTAGCCACCCTCTCCCCACCCCCCTTCTCCCACTCCCTTTCTCCCCCCTCCCTCCCTAAATATAGTAATATCTTACTTTTTTTTTTCCAGTCTGCTGGTGCTGGTTCTGCCCCTGTTTGTGTGGTTGCATGTGTGTGGGGAGGCTGCTTGATATGTTGTGGTTGGATAGCTGCCTCTGAGGTTGTGTGTCTGTAAATAGGGCTGCTTGCAATGCAGTGTATGTGAAGAGGAATGTTAGTAGTGTATCGCGTGTGTACATGTGTGTAGTTAGGGGCTGTATTAAGTGCTGTAGAATATGGGCTGTAGTCTGGGACAGGAGGTTTAGACAGGAGGTTTAGTGTATATGTGTGTAAGGGGTATACAAGGTTTAGGGTTTCTATGTGGAAGGTGTAGGGACTCTAGTGCGTGGGTGTGTGTGTGTGTGTGTGTGTGTGTGTGTGTGTGTGTGTGGATTGGGCTGTAGTGTATGTGTAGGGTTAGTGACTATAATATATGTATGGTGGGTATGTGAGGGATAAGGGGGGAAAAGAGGCTAGTAAGTAGGGGTACAGGAGCTATAGTGTGTGGAGGAATAGATGGCTGAGTGTGGTTGCATGTGTGTGGGAAAACTGTTAGGTTGTAGTGGGATGTCTGATTGTTGGGTTGTGTGTCTGTAAATGGGGGACTGTTCGCAGTGTAGTGTGTGTGGAGAGGGCAGTTAGTGGTGTAGAGTGTGTGTACATGGGCTATAGTGAATGTAGTTAAGGGCTGTAGTGAGTTCTGTGGAATAGGGGCTGTAGTGTGGGATTGACAGGGGGTTTAGTGTGTCTGTGTGTGAGGGGTAAATAAGGTTTAGTGTTTGTGTGTGGGGATTGGTGTAAGGGCTCTAGTGTTTAAGTGTATGTGGACAGGGCTGTTGTGTATGTTAGGGTTAGTAGGGTTGGTGGCTATAATATATGTAAGGGGGGAGGCATTGCAGGTACAGTGTATGTGGTGGAATATGGCCTGTATGTGAGGGATAAGGGGCTCGAGCAAGTAGGGGCCCATATTTACCTGTTGTAAGCTGTGCAGTGCCTTACTATCCAAAGTCGGCAATGGAGGGAACCTAGGCCTCATTAAGCATGCCTATTGGGCTTTCCTATGAAAATTTAAAGATGCTGGATGTCTTCATGCAAAACTTGAGGGGTGTCCAGCGTCGTTTCATGGAGTTAAACTATGTGAACTCTAGTAGCTGTCTCTGAAACTGCAATGTGTTACATTACAGGGCTAAGGGGACCGGACTTTGCACCCAGACCACTTCAATGAGATTAAGTGGTCTGGGTGCCTATAGTGTCCCTCTAATTATTACCTTTTCCTTCTCTTTAATTCTTTATTACTATTTTTCTATTTATCCCTCTTTCTTCCTTTAGCCCTTCTTTGTAGATCACAATTCTCGAAGTACTACGTTTATTGATCCACGTCTTCCATTGCAAAGCAGTCGACCAGCCAGTGCATTGCTTCATCAGCAGCATTTAACAAGACAACGCAGCCACAGTGCTGGAGAGGTCAGTCTGTTTGGTGACACAAAAAAGATTTATGTTTGTAATTGATTTTAAACGTGTAAAGCAACCAACTTGCCTATTTCTTAAGCTTACATAGTTTGTTTGCCATTTATAGAGATATAATGAGCATATTGCAACAGTAAATAAGCATTAAATAATCTTAAACTCCTTAAGACCGCAGGGCATTCTATGCCGTTCCTATTTTGATGGCTCTAAACGCTGCAGGGTGATAGCAGTATGGGACTCGCCTGTGAGCCCAGGGAGTCCCCCTCCGTCCTCTTCGGTCCCTCTGGGCCATGTGATCGCATAGCCGTCCAAGGCATTGCCAGCAGGGGGAGTGCCTGTAATGACAGGTACTCCCCCTGCTGTCTGAAAATGAAATAAAATAAGTTAAAACAGTGTAAAAATAAATAATATATACTTAGATCATATATATATATATATATATATATATATATATATATATATATTATCTATATATGATCTAAGTATATATACACACATATACACACATACGCATACACTGCCTAAGTGTATTTTAATATTAATATATACATAATTATATTAATATCAAAATACACGTATAATGATATTGATTACATATATATATATAATTTAATATATATTTATATATAATAAATAAATATGTAAATATGTTAAAAATAAAATGAAAAAATAATAAAAAATAAATAAAAAATATATATACATGTGTAATTTCGTTCTAACTGTATTTTAAAATGAATATATATATATATATATATATATATATCAAAATACATGTAGAACAAAATAATATATATATATCTATATATACGTAAGTATATATGTATATATCACTATATATAAACCTATATATAAATAAAAAAATTTAAAAAAATTTATATATATATATATATATATATATATATATATATATATATATAATCTTCCAAATAGATAGCTGCACTCATGGATTTTAAAAGTCCAAAATTTATTGATAAATGTTTAAAAGAAGACGATCAACGTTTCAGTCCTCCATAGAGGACTTTAATCATGATCATAGAGGACTTTCATCAGAGGTTTTGCTAGGATGTATTTAAACTAGGAGGGGAGGGCAAGACGGTGATAAAACATCAATCCAATTGTCCCCCAAAACAAGGACAGAAGGTGCCTGTAGCAAGTGTGTTAAAAATGATAAGCTTAGAGTCATGTCTACAAATGCTCGCAGTTTAGGGAATAAGATCCATGAACTTGTGGCAATAATGGCAACTGATAGTGTAGATTTAGTCGCTGTTACTGAGACATGGTACAATGAGAAAAATGACTGGGACATAGCAATACCAGGGTACTCTTTATATAGGAAAGATAGGGAAGGCAAGAAAGGGGAAGGGGTGGCCTTGTATGTGAAGGATAGCATAAAATCTAGCCTAATAAAAGTTAGTGAGGCAAACATAGAGTCCGTTTGGGTTACATTAGAATTTGGTAATCACACAGTAACTCGTGT